TATAAATCAATATTAAATAATTTATTATCATTTAAGTATAATTAAAATGATATTCAAAATGACATTAAATTATATAATTTTGATTTATAATTAAAATAAAAATTAACCATCACTTCATACGAAATATGTTATGGTATGGCTAATATACCATATAGGGACATACGCTGGAACGAAGCGGAGCAGAGCGGAGCGAAGCGGAAGAATCTGTCCAAATCGGGAAGTTATGTTATGTGGGTTGGAGGTGTTGGGTCAACGCCCCGTTATACGATACATGGGTAATTTGGGAATTATATATTGTACTGTAGGGTTTACTCTAGGATTATAAATAGACCTGTTTGTAATCCTAGGTCTTTGAGAGAGTTGAATTTTGTATTCTGTATTCTTTTCTGAATATTGAAAAGAAGGTCGCCGCTCTGCTCCCGAGGACGTAGACATCTTTGCCGAACCTTGTTAAATCTCCGTGTTCTTCTGGATTTGTGTCGATTACTATTTTTCTTCGCCTTAATTTTCTCAACAAGTGGTATCAGAGACAGGTTCGAGGGCAAGGAAGAAAATTTTCATCGGTGCAAGAAGAAGTTCGGGCGGCATATCTTGCACGACGCAAGCGCAGGTTCCAGATCTTCGCACGACGGAGAACTCGGCCGCAGAGGTTTCGTGCGGAGGGCGTTTTGCAGGAGTTCGTGGTGTTCGGAAGATCGCGGGACTGAAGGAAGTGGCTCGGGAGAAGGAATCGCGGGAGCAAGCGGAGCCAAAGGCGAGAGGATCGCAGAAATTTCGGCTTCAGCGGCTCGGCGACAGGCTGCGATCGGGGAGGAGGCAGCAGAGGCGGAAGGGTTCGCGCTGGAAAGGAAGGCTCGCACGCGAGATCTGGCAGAATGGCAGAAAAGGAAAGGAGCGGGCCCATTTTTGGCTCTGCTGAGAAAGGAATCCAATCCCTCCGGCTGCTGAGTAGTTGGAAAGGAAATTTATTTAAAATTATGTTTGTTAAAAGCATTTAATTAAGAAAAACTTAATTAAAGAAATTTAATTAAGCAAAATTTCTTAATTAAGGATAAATATTTTCCTTTTTTCAAAAAAAAAAATTTTTTTTCTCTTTTCATTCTTTTTCAAAAAAAAAAGGAGTTCTAATTCAAAAAAAAAGAGTTCTAAGAAAGGATTTTTGCAGAAGATTTTGTTTGCAGAAAAGTTTTTGTTACAGGATCAAAATTGTTCGCAAGGCGAACGGGCTTGCGGGAACGAACAGGTGCGAAGCAGTTCGGATAAAAGGCTACGACAGTTCAACGAGTTATGCTTCGGGGAGTTCGTGGTTGAGGTGGCGTCGCGATTTTGAGGCACGACAGTTCATGAACTTTCGCGGCATTAGGCGAGGTGGAGTTCGCGAACAGGAGCTCGTGTGCAGTTACCGCGAACAGGAGCATTTGCAAACAGAGGATTTTGGTGATGTTCGACCAACTGAGTTTGCAAGTTCGTCGCAGGTGGAGTTTGCGACAGGTGGAGTTCGGTAGGGTGCTGGCGAGCGAGTAGACGCGATTATTCGCGAACAGTGGTTTCGCGAAATATCTCCGCGAAGGGTTTCGCTCATGGGACAGCAGTTTTGCCGATGTGCTGGCGCGAACAAGAAAAGTGCTTCAACCCACATTTGTGCATAAGAAACTCCATGATATTTTTTTCCTAAGGGGCTGGATATTCGCAAGGTGGAGATTTTCTCCTAAGGGGTAGAATATTCGCAAGGTGGAGATAGTTCTCCTAAGGGGCTGGATATTTGCAATGTGGAGATTTTCTCCTAAATGGCAGGATATTCGCAAGGTGAAAATTTTTTCCTAAAGGGCTGGATATTCGCAAGGTGGAGATTTTTCCTAAGGGGCAGGATATTCACAAGATGAAGATATTTCTCCTAAGGGGCAGGATATTCA